TATTAGTGTCAAGTACTTTAAAAAGTATTGGTATAATTTTTATAACACTGAATTATCTTGAAAGTCAATCGTTATAGTGCTGTAATACCATGTATTGAGTGGTGCTGTGGGTTTTTTATAAGATCTGATTTAGTCCTTAACTTTATTCATTAAAAAATGTAAAGTGATTTCTGCTGAGGTAGATGTTTTAAGTCCTAATAATTTCTTCTTTATTGCTTTTTCTACTCAGTTTTTCTGTTTGTGCAGATGACCTCTAGGAAATCAGCAAATAGACTTTTTTCCCTCCCTGCCTAGGGAACCAAACTTACTTCCCTTCCCCCAAAGAGTCTTTGCTTGGAGGATCATGAACCAGTGTTTAAACTGGAAGGATATTCAGCGCTCTTTCTTACTACTACTGTATTTTAAAGGAAGCTAAAGTGTAGAAGATGGGTTTGCCAAAACAATAAGGTTCAACTAAGAAAATATGTACACTACTTTGACTCAGTAAACTCATACTCAGTATGGTTCATCTTCTTCATATTTACTTTTGCCCATATTAGAAAACAATTAGCTTACTAAACAAATTTGAGTATTTGAGAAGAAAAAATCTACTCTGAGTCTCTCCCATTTGACTAGGAATTACATGATATTTGATAAGCTTGTTTAAAAATGGACATATCCAAATATTATTGTAAACACCCAATGATTTGTTTTACCTGCAATATAAGTATTTTACTTAGTTGGCTTACATAGTAGCTAATAATATTTGTTAATGTAATTTAACTGCTGTGAACCTTTACTGAACAAATATTGAAATTTATACAAGTCAAAGAAAGAGAATCTCTAATGACTTTTGTAAAAGCTTCCATTTAATAGTTAAGGAGAAAAGTTTATATGACATACCAGATGCAATTAACAGTAGGTTTTACATTTAATAAAAAGAAAGAAGCATATGTATTTGCTTTATTCATTCCATCATAATTTGCATTAGAGCTGTGGGTGTTTAATGAGCAAATTCCAGCTAAAATGCTATATTGATTTTCTAACTGAACTTTGTAATAGCTATCTACCTTACAAAAGCTCTCTGTTTACAATTGTTTTCTTTTCTAAAAACTAAAAATGTTTTAGAGTTGATGAGTTTAGCATAATGATTCTTTTAAAATAAAGAGCTCTTTCAGTGTAGGCAGGAGGTTTAGTTACAAGGAGAAAGATGTTATTAAATTATTCCAGAGCAAATAAAGTTTATACAGCTAAATAGCAACGTCTTGTTTATATATATTACAATATTTATAAGCATTGGAGAAATCATTCTTTTCTTAATTGAGCACTATAGGGAAAAAATATAACTCTAGCCTGTCATAGATGTATGATTTACTACATAACACAATTTCAACTTAATATCTGACTATTCATACTTCAATTTTGGGTGTTGCTTTCTTGCTTGAAGCATAAGTACTATAAAAATTTCCATTTTCTTGTCGGTCAAGACTCAGGATAAACCAGGATAGGGTTGGTTGGCACCCCATTGGAAGGTCTCCAAGAAAAACCTCGTGGTGTTGACCAGAGCAGTTGGTGACTAAGTAGCTGGATTGCATTTTCATTGACTCGAGCATGAAGTCAGTGTTCTGGTACCGCACTAGTGGCATGCAGGATGTGCCATACCTTGAATGGAAATTAAGAGCCTGATTTCTTACTGTCTTTTCATTTTTAAGAATATCAACATTTTTAAGAAGCACAGGGATGATGACCTGGGTATTTATTACTTTAATATAGATAATTTTTTGTTCATTTCTCTACACATGTTTTATTAGACATGTTATACTTCACATACGTATCTGCAGATGATATAAAATGTTTTGTTGTGCTGCTGTATTGCAGTGCAGAGATGTATATGTTTCAGTAACTAGTGAAAAAAATATTACTATTATTTCTTATGGTCGCTCCCACAGGTTACTCCTGTGTATTGCTGCACAGTGTTGAACTGTACCACTTTTTCTGTTTTGGGCCTTTTAAAAATTGGATTRCCTTATGTTTTTGTCTTATATTTTTATGCAGTCGTCTTCCTAATCTGTTTTAATATAAACARAAAACAAACAAATAAAAAAAAMCCCCAAACAMTCAACCATAACTGATGTGGAGCTGTTCAAATTTATTAATATAATTGCTGCATCTGGTCATTGGGACATGTTGAATGAAAGTTTATTATTATAGTTTAATGAAAGAGTAAGTGGGGGAGTGGGAGGGATAGAGTTGCTCAAGTTACTTTCCATAACCATTGATTAGGAAACAGTGTTTTGTAATGGATCTTTGAGGGGAGGGAGGGAGGGCAAGGTTCACTGTTCAAGGCAATCAGCCTCTCAACTCCTATCAGGGGTGATTACATTACAGATAAGCAGGATTTTTAGGTCACTCAAATTATTTTTCTCTGAATGCTTTTTTCCTGCTTTATGCATGACRCTTTGGTTTCAATACATGCAAGAAAGAGTTTGGTTTAAAAAAACAGTATATTATTACTATTGGGCATAGTTATTTAGAGAGGGAATTAAGTTATGATATAGCATAGTCCTAAGTCCCTAAGTATACATGTAGACACAGCATCCATCCATTCTAGCAGCCAGAGGATGTCACCTACTGAACAGTAATTTTTGCCATATTTGTCATTATTGTAGACATCTATGTAGTTTTTATTCATTTCGGGAATAGTTTTCATTATGAAAAACACRAAGTACTTCTACTTGCAGCCTCACTGAAACAATGGAAAGCATAAAGGTTCTCTGTGCTGTGTCTCTGRCATGATCCTACATAAATTGACAGTTACTAGAGAGGAGAAAAAAAAGCCTTTAGCCTTTAGTAAACAAATACTTTAAGGTAGAGCCAGGCAACAATTACTATACATAATTACACTTTGTGTGTATTTCATGTCTACRGGAACACACTTGTTTCTCTGTAGTTTGCACAGTCAGTGCTGAGTTTCTCTGCTCTTGACGCTATTGAACAAGGCACCAATGCAGATCTCAACAAGTCTCCTTTCCTAGTACAACTTGTTCCTTTTTGCTCTTTTCAAGCTACTCATCTTAACAGATACTGGATTCATCTTCTGCAAGTGCTGCTTACCAAATTTTCTGTTTACGTCCCTGCAGCTGCTGTACTCATGCCTTAATTTTTCTGTTCTTTATTAAGCTATGCTTTCTTGTTGCAAATAGATCTGTAAGGAGGAAAAAAAAAAAACCTATTCTTGTGAAACGTATTCAAATAAGAGAGAACTAAAATGGTCTTTGAGTTTAGTTTATTTTCTTGTGGGTGCACAATTCTTACATCTCTAGGCTGAATACGAGGTTTGCAGCTCCTCTGCAGATATTTGTGACAGACCTACACACAGGACTGAACCCCTGGCAAAACCGTGTAATTTTTCTTTATCTTCTTTTGTACAGTCTGTTTTTATTGTTGCAAATTTTAGCCCTTCTGGGAGATATGAAAAAAAAAATTATTCCTTACTCCTCAATAACTGTCTTTTCCCGGATTAACAAGAGGGTTGCATTCCTACCTTGAGCATCTTTCCAATTTGTTTCCAGATTCCTTTCTCTTCATCTTCTCTTTCATCTAATATCCTTGCTTATCAGAGCTGCATGTTCACTCTTCTGAAACTTGCTGCATTCTGCATTTCCTTTCCCTCACTTTCAGTATTGATGAACTGTACCAGCCAGAAAGTTAAAACCAAAATATGCTGCTACATTTATATTATTCCATTCCTGTGAAGAACCATAATCCTATATACTGTATTACATAGAGCAACTTCTGTGGAGTTTTTATACAGGTGGAATAGAGAAAACTAATCTCTTAAGGCAATGAAGCTGTTGTCAGCTTACAGAAAGAACAGGAATATAGGCTCTAGGCTAGAGCCAACAGGAAGCATTTTTTTTTGAGCTCTTAATGGCTTTTCCAGTAGCTCAGAGAAGGGCAGATTTTGAAGGAATAAGCTTAACAGTAATAGTTTGTTACAAAAGAACTTTTAAAGGAATGGTAAAAATTGCCCATATTTAGTAGAGTCTGGAGGTTGGTTTTAGGAGACCCTGTAGACTTCCCTCTTAGCTTAATTTTTGGAGGTGCCTGTAACAATCAGAGAGGATGCTAGAAACAGTCCTCTGTCTTGGAATGACAGCAGACTCCCTGTAGCATCCTGGAAGTCCTAGAAGTTTTGACTGTAGGCTTTATGATGACTATGAGGAGAGATTTATAGTATTAGAGAGGGAAATAATGAAAGTATGAATAAAGATTTTAGCAGAGGTAGGGTTGAGGTAAAGATTCTGGCAATGTTCCAGGGGTGGTGTTAGACATATTGACGGGGAGTTGCCAGAAGAAAATTTAAGCTCAGAATAAGGAATGGCTTGAAGGTGTTAGTTTGTTGCCAAGGATAGACAGTAAGTCTTAGTTTATTGGCATCTAATGCTCTAAGGTATGCTGTAACAGATAACATAACAGTAAATTACTCAATAAAGTAAAGGCTTTGACAGTGAAAGGGAGATGCCAGCTTTGCAACTCTTGTGATTCTAGAGATAGACATACCGTGAAAATGTTAGGGTGAGCTAGTGTGATGGAAGCAGTGCGATGATAGAATTCACTTCAGTGGTTCAATACTCTTAATTCTGCATACTGTAGAAAAAGAAACCTAATAGCATCTCATATGATTCTGAGATTTAAAAATTACTTTTCTATGAAATAAGTATTCAAAGCAGAACACTTTTTTGCCCTGTGTCATTATGCAGGCTTGAATTTGAAAACATTTAGTGTTATTTTCATTCCTGAACTTATAGCAGTCAGTGGCAAGTTAAYGTTGTTTCTAAAGAGCAGTGTAAACTTTATGAACTTTATCTAGAGGATTGGATCTAAGGTCAAGGGAAAAATGTTGATTTTTTTTTTTAATAGGAGATGATAACAAAGGTCTACATAAGGTGTACCTAAAATGTAATCTTGTCTTTCCCTGTCAAAATGGTTATTTGGTCAACATTCTGGTTATTTTGCAGCTCTGGTGGAAGAAGTTTATTCTGCTCAACGAGAACGTGATGAGGCTGTCATGGCAAGGCTTAGATTAGCTAATGAAGAGAGAGATGAAGCATTTCTACGAGTGCGGCATTTAGAACAGTCACTCAAAGAGTAAGTATGCGCTTCCTGCTCAGTGCAGAAACATTGGTGTGTCAGAGCTTGACTTTCATGAACTTCTCAGTAACAGTTATGTTGTAATTCTTAATATAAACTTCTCTGTGATGAATTACTAAGCTAGTACTGGTATTAGTGTACTCCTGATTAGTTTTTATTTTYAGGAAGCATGTGAGATGCTATTTTTCTCAGGTGACTGAGAGCAAGGTGAATGACTGATTACCTAGACAAATAAATAAATAAAAGCTTTGTCATTGATTTATTCAGGGATAAATCAGGGGAATGTGACATTTGAAATGGGCATCTTTTGACATGGAGTACCAGGATGTCAGTCAGAAGTTGCACTATATAGGAAATCAATCGAGTCTTTGAGCCCACCAGACATTTCCTTCAGCAAAATTTCTAATTATGTGGGTGACATAGTAGAAATATGTTTTCCTCTTTATCTTTAGTGCTAGAGCAGTTTGTAAGGCAAGAAGGCAACTTTTTGAAAATTGTTATTTTATTGTGTTAGCAYAGGAAGGCAAAAACAGGCCATTTTATATATAACTGAACTGTTAAGCTGTGGTAAAGTTAGATCAAAGGAATATCAAAACCAGTTTCTTTTATCGCTTTAGTATATAGGTAGCCTTAAAGCTACAGTTCTCTTTATATAGGTGACTCTCCCATATGAGTTATGATCAAATTGCTACCTCCTTAAAATCAAAACTTTGGATCATGTGTCACTTTGGGTTTTAAAAAAAAAAAAAAAAAAAAAAAAAACCCCAACAACAAAAAAAAGTGAGGTACTGAGAGAAGGTGCTATCAGCCACAATCTCTTACGTCTTTGAATGATTCTGTTTTTCAGAATGGCTTAAATATTCTACCACATTTTAATGGGATTTAATTCTGCTGAAATTTCATAGATCGTRTAATACAGGCAAGCTTCTCTTAGTAGAAACTGAACACATGCAGTTATTATTCACCTAAATGCCAAGCAATTGGTTTTTAAGTAATTCTAGTAAAAACACTTTTTCTCTGGGATATGTATTTAGACTGCTCCATAGAATGTTTTCCAACTAAATTTCTGTACCTATGCAGATAGTTTGTGCACCTTTACTCTGTGGAATTTGCATGTTGAAATTTATCACAACCTGTATTACTTAAAGGCAAGTTTAGGAGAATTCAGGCCTACCAAGCTTAATGCACAATTTGCCAGAGGTAATGCCCTACAGAGTCCATTGTAGGTGTATAAATACATCTGATTTTTTTGTTTTGAGGGATCCTATCTGAGGAAATGTGCAAAAATGGTTTATATTTCTGTAAAGGGCATCATAATTGCCACCTTATCTCTCTASTGTTTCCAGTTTTTTCAGTCACTCTTCTAGTTTGTGTGTTTTGAGAGTGAAGAAACCCAGAAAGCTCTATGTGGTTCCAAACATCAAATAAGACTATTTGCATTAGCTGTGGGCATAAACCTTAGGTCTTCGGTTCTGCAGCAGATTATTCTTTCTGACAGACATAATCAATTTTTTTGTGTGTTTCTGGATGAAACTGCAGGCCAATTAGCATGTGATAGGCATTTTGGTGCAATCGCTGCAGTGGAATCCACAGACACAACCCATGGGCTTACTGTGGTCTTGATACATATGAATCAGGCATTGCTTGTTTTCCTTTCAAGTCTTTCTGTGCTTTGGACATGTTAAAAGGTCAACTCTATTCTAAGCAAAAGGATGAGAAGAGATAGAAAGTCTCCTTTTCTCGGGAAAAATGCATGTTCCCTCCTTCAAAGGAATGTCRCTGCAGAAGGCAACTGGATGCATTGGCACAGGGAATCTCAAGAGGGTAGTTGGTAACTCCCTGGGGTGGTAAAGGTACAAGAGCACTGGAGGAGCTGAGGCATCATATCTTATTGCTGTCACTCCAAGAATAGCAATTATTATTGCTTTGACCCACTTGTGYATTTTTTCCTCATGTTTTGTAATGAGGTCTAATACCCTGATGCTATTCTCTCAAGATGAGTGAATTTGAGGTGCTTAAAGATTAGTTGACAYCTACAGTATTTGTAAAAGTAGAGGGACTCTGAAATCTCACCTCTAATTTACCACTTGAATTTGTCTCGCTGTTCAGCTTTAAGTCAATCTGTCACCCTTTCAGAAGGAGAGGGAACTCTAGGAGAAAAACTGGGTGCTGTTATCTCAGACTATCTATTGTAAATAGTTTTATACTGTGGCTGTTGCATTCTTCTTTTTTTCTTCTTTTTTTCTTTTTTTTTTTTTTTCCATTTTCTCTCCCCAGAGTCCATCTCACCTCTCTACTAATCCTTTGGAAGCAGCAGAGGTGATGGGATGAACCATGAGGAACTTAAATTATTTTATGTAGTTTTTGGCTTTGTTCTGGAATCTTGGACCTGGAAACTCACTCACCATTATTTCCTTCCTGGTGCTGGTTGTTGGCAGTCACTCTCTCTCACCTCAGAGAACGTCAAGTGGAGCACATAGGGCAGCTCTTTGTAAAGTCCATTGGCTACTTTTGCCACCCTTGTCAGGTTTTACAACCCAAGGAACTTCCCCCATCTGCTTGGACTTGTTCCAGTCTGAGATTTTTTAGAAGAGGGCAGCGTTAGGCAGCCTGCCAGCCTTCACAGAGTGCTCTAAAGCTTCCTTTAAATTCGCTGCTAGAGCAGTTCTGGTGTCACTGTTCAGCTGTAACAGCCGAAACTCAATCCTGTCACCCCTAGGGGGTACTTAAGCAAAAAGTGTAAAAATAGAAGAAAAAGGCATCCTTGCTTACTGCTGCTTCGGTTCATGAGAGAACTGACAGCCTGTGCACAGCGCAGCGAGAAGAACCGGGCAAATGTGTATTTAAAAAAAAAAATACTGTGATTTTAGGTAGTGTGTGTGTGCCTATAGATGGAAGTCTTGTGACAGGAGGAGGGCGTACAGTRTAAGCTCCTGCCCTTTTTTCCTTTTCCCATTTTCTCCCTCTTTGCCCACGCCGCTCGGTCGGATGATTAGCTGAGGTATTCTTTTGACCCACTTTGGTTGACCCTGCTTTTAGCAGGGGAGAAATCCTCTGGTTAAGCCTGCCAACCTTAAGTTGCATCCTTAACTGCAAACCAAGCCAGTTTAAGAAATGTACTTCACTGTATACAGACAGACTAGGCAGAGACCCCTATTAAGTTCCATGACAAGTGGGTTTCAGAGCAGAGCAGAATAAGCTCTGCTTCTAAAGCAGGAACTCTACAGGGAACCAGTTCAGATGGGAGAATCTGAACTCAAATGTCTTGGTTTTYGGTTTGTGCTACTGTATGAATGTGAGTCAGACCGAGCAGAAGTTAGCTCTTACTTTATTAGATCTAATGGTGACTGGATATGTTGGAAGCAGGTAGTGCTTGCAAGCTCCCTGTAAATATGCCAACCACTGTATGCTGGTAATACGTTGTTGGTATTTCTTTTGGATTGAAAGGATCGGTGTCTATATAGGCTGATTTACTATGCCRTATGGACCAGTAACTGACACTTCAAGGTGAAATGTTAGTGTGCTATCAAGCACTGTGCAATGTGTGCCGGCTTAAATCTTGGCTTTAGAGCAGTGRCTCTCAGCACTGAATAAGTTGTGATGCTATTTAATTACTGCTATCCTTTAAAACATTATATACTAATCTGTCACAGGCTTGCTTTTAATAAATGTCGCTGTTAATTAGCGTGGAGTAGAGTTGTAACCCTCTAATAGGCTTAAATACACATATTAAAAATACTGAAGAGGTCYCTTCCATTTTAAAATGAACATAAATGTTAAATAATATACTGCACATATAGCTTTGGTAAAATAAAATGTGTACCCATTTATTAGGGGTTTGTGCTATATCACTATATCGCTGCTTTTACCCAGATGGTGTTCAATTGCATATGGCTTAATTCCTCACATCATCTTTATATTTAACAGCTAAGAACAAGTTTGCTTGAAATAAAGGTGGGGAAATGCAGGCAGAATTAAAAGATGGCCTGGCAGAGAAATGGCTTAATGTGTTATTTTATTTAAGATATTATAGTAGAATATTTCAAAGGAAATTTTAACTACTTGTTTTTCCTCCTTTTGGCAGGGGAAGATGGCAAATGACTTTTGTAGAGAATGTTTGTTTTTGTTTTCTTTTTAAAGTCCTGTCCTGTTTCATTTGGGGTGCAGTAAAAACAAAACACAACGTCAAGCAGAAGTTGTAAGTCCAGAAATAAATAAAATAAAAGCATCAGTCACTTCTATCACTGGGGAACTTTCTTCATCTAAGCACATATGAACAATTGATCCTTGTAGTCATATATAGCAGTAAACATTAATAACTTAACAGTCTGAAGTCAGTGCTGAAGATATGGAGCATTATTGAAAGATGGAGTCGAGCAGGTGGCACTTTAATATGTTCAGTGTCATGGTTGACTCTAAAGACTAGTAGAATGAAATTACTTGAGGTTCTAAAGATTTAAAAAGCGAACTCATTTTGCTGCACTAAGGAAATGCTACTGATCAGGCTTTCTGTGTCCCTTTTTTCTAGGCTAGAAAATATTAACCCTGAAGAAAATGACATGGTAAGCCATTCTCTGAGGAGATTTCTTGATGTCAGTCTTATATCTTAGAGGCTTAAGTTCAATTGAGTGGGTTTCAAGAACTAAGATGTGGGAAAAAGAAGAATTGACACACTAATAATGTACATCTTTGCTGCAATATGAAAATTCAATAACTTCACTCAGTCAATTTACAATTCACATGTGCCTATTAATTAAAACCCTATATTAAATAAAATATATTAAAACTTCATGTCTGACTAACATATAATGCTGTTGGTAGACATTACAGGAATTACTGAACAGAATAAACAATGCAGACACTGGCATAGATATACTGAAGAATGGAGCTATAATTCTGAATCGAATACACAGGACCAAAGAACGTAAAAAGAAAATAGTAGCTGAAGAAATGAATGCAGTGATAGAGCAACGTGATGCTGCTTTGTCTCAAGTAAGTCTCTACGAGTATATAATCGCTCAATATAGAATTTCTTTTTTCTTCTTTTTCCTTTTCCCTTTTGGCAAGTGGCTGTTGATTGAGCTATCCTTTCTGYGTGATAGGAATGCCCATTAAAATATTTTAAATATATTTCACAAGCAGGTTTTTGTTTTTTGCACACAATCACTGTCTGCCTTTTTGAAAGCAAATAGCTTTAAGTATACTGAACAAAGCAAAAAGCTACAAAGGGCTCTGTTTTGCAGGATGTCCTAGTTCTGTAAAGCATTGGACTACAGCAAACTGGATCTCAAGGAGTTGCAAAGGGTTAAAATTATAAGTGGCAGAAATATGCATTAAAGGGAGATAAGACTGCATGCAGCAAACTAAACAGTTCTTCTCTTGGTTACTTTATGTTCAGGAAGTGAAAATCGGCATGTGAGCCTTGATTTTCAGTGTGCCATGCCTCTGCTACATGGGCTACTAGAAGCTGAAGGCCTTTTGCTACTCAGATCACYGATTCCCTTAACTTTATTTTCCCAGGAGAATACTCTTCTCATTCTCATCATTGAGAGAGTCTCCTTGGTGCTTCTGTCCCACAGCAGAGTTCTTCTGAGGTTCTCTTCACAGTTTTCTTTCTTCCTGATTTTGCCTTCTGAAAAAAATGGATTTAACTACATAGTAATGAGCTGTAGGAAGAAGCAGAGTGGACAGGGAATATAGAACTTGATTTAGACTGGGTGAGACTCCTTATGCGTCCATCCCAGGCAAGAAGTTTCATCTGTCTGTTGCTTCAAAATAGAAAATACAAATCTCCCCTCAATGTAAATATCCAAGATTGCCCACACCCCAAAAAAATTGTGTTAAATTTAAATTCTGGTTGAATTTATATTGTGTCAAGAAGTCACCTGGTAAAAGAATCCYCTTTTCACACCCTGAAATTTTTACCTTTTTGCAATCATCGTTTTTATGATCAATCCTCCTTTCACCTTTTTTGCTTGGTACTGAAAATAGTTAACGCATTTAACGACTGCAAAGAGTGTTAATGTTAAAACTTCATCTTTTCACACTGCTCTTTCTTTTGTTTTTTATAATAATGATAACCATTCTAGTTACTGGTGAACATCCAACAGTCCTGCCAAAAGTTATTGCTCTTTATTTGAAAATTTTGACCAAATTTCTTCTTTGAACAGGACACTTGAAAATTGGGCTGCTTGTAAGAGAAAAGCTTTCAGCAAAGGAGAAGGGTCTTTTGATATATTCGAGTTTTATCATTTTTTTGCTTCAGTGTCGAAGTATATTTTCAGACATACTTGGACCATAAAAGTTTGCTAAGTTTCTGAATATTGTTGTGGGCATTATATGTATATTTTAATTGGGTTTATTTTTAAGCTATCCACTTACAGCGTAGTTTAAAGACATATGTGTAGAAGTTGTTTTTTCCAAGTAATTGGTATGGAAATTGATAAAAGATCAATGTTTTATATAATGGTTCTAATGCCACAGCCAGCATAGCCACTTTTAGTGTCAAAAAATGCACAGATGGTGTCAAGTAACAATGTCAAGATAGAGTTAAAAATAAATGAATAAAGTATTAACCTCCTCCCACTCCCCCTCAAATAAGATTTCTTTTATCAGCATTTGGTATTACGTTGGACTGCTCTGATTGATACTRATTGTAAAATGTAATTATTTTAAACTAATTATTAATAGTGGGACCCTATCGAGCTTGCATTGTGTTTCCATAACTGTGATGCTTTCATGGCTGTGGCTATTGAATCCATAAAACAGATCCTTGGAACTGAAGCTACCATTTCAACCTGCATTTCTCACAGGATGATTCCTTGGGAATTCGTACCATGCTTGAATTATTAGTAGTCTTTTGTTAACATTGCAATAGCAGTAGTTATTACAGCGCTAACAGCAAGAACAATAGGAGAGGGATTCCTACGTTAGACCACAAAGGGGCTGGATATAATTCAGGGGATGTATATGCTTAGCATAACAAATGTAAATTATTAGAAGTTCCATCCAAGGCAGCCTCAGGTATTCATAACATTTGCAAGTTAAAATCTTTCTCTTTTCATGGGAGGTGACATCAAATAATGAGGGGGCCTTGGTAAGAATAGGGTGAGACAAAGCTGAAGTGGAGTACTCCATAAGAGGCTGTTGCTGACTCTGGAGAATGGCATTTTAGAAGTTCAGAGGTCACGGGGCAGTGGAAGCTAAATGCTTCATGATGCATTTTGTAAAAACTGATTCTGCTAGCTCTTGTACAGTGCTGGGACAGCAATTCTGTTCGGGTGGCCCACAGAGGCAACGCTCTTGTRGAATTGATTATGTGGTAAAGAAGGGCTTGTACGGAGTGCGTTCRTCTGTTAGCTTACGGTTTTCTTTACAGTAACCTGGTAGTTGGCAGTTAAGCACAATGAATACAGCTAGCACTCAGGTTTAGGGGTGTACCTTGTAGGATTTTATGGGTTTTTTTTTTTTTGCTATAAACAATAATACAGAATTCTTTACAGCTCTAACTCGGCTAACTCTAGAGCTACAACTCTTTTTATTATACTTGAAAAGATAAAAAGCACTGTCCATATCCATGAAATGTATGAATAAGTTCTTTCTGATACTAAGTCCCTCTACATCTTTTTTGGTATTTGACTTGTGAATATCGTGTCTTATTTGGAGCAGCTCAAGGCACTATTATCACTGTACTGAGCTGCACATGTGTATGTAATCTTAGATCATCCACTACATTGCTGAGCAAATATGCAAACTACTTTTTGTATGTGTGAAAACAAATAAAATGGTATAAACTCAAATATTTGATACTACTTTTAGTATGTATTTTCAAGTGAATAGAAAACAAACAACTAAAGCATGGCTAAACATTGACATCCATCTTCTCCTGTACCAACTCCCTTAAAAAAACAAACTCAACTGTTTGGTTATATTTGCCAAGATATATTTGTTAGTGAACAGATATTGTGCTATACTGGGGAACTTGTTTCTGTTTTATGACTGATCTCTGAAGAGGAAGCAGAGTAAGAAATTGACTGTCATGAGAAATAAAAACTCAGCTTATTGTCTGTATTATTAAGTTTTGTCTTAATGAGGGGAGGGAAAAAAAAATAAAAACTCTTCCAGTGAATTGTAATACTGTTCTGTCTGCTCAAAAGTRTTCCTTGCTTGAGCAAAGGAATGCTGAGCAAAATGTTTGTCAAATTAGTGAGATTGAAAACGAGAGATTAAATAGGGCCATAGCTGCATTATGTGATCTTCATAACATACTTGAAAGARGATGGTTTCCAGCAGGAGGCAATGCAGTGCAATGGCTCAATCAGGCAACCGCCCATCACACCTTACGGACAGGAATGTTAATATGATTAAAGGGTTGGCAGCCAAAACTGGAGACTTGAGTAAGTCGTTGAAATAACTTTTCTACTATATTAGTAAAGAAAGTGACCCTTTAATTGGTACAGTTTGAAGGAAGTGATTTTAAAGAAACTAAATAGTAGCATGGCTTATAGTTCACAGGGTTCAAATGTTCGATATGTTTTCAGCCCTGTTTTTAAATTTGTAGATGTTTTGTAATTGGTAAGTCTGTTACTTTACAAAATTTTAAATATTAAAGGTGTAGATTGCTTTTCCAAAGAAAAGCACTGTTTCTGTGGCCAGTGAAGTGTCACCTCTAATACCCTGATCTTGAAGCAATAACATAACTGGCAAGCAAACCTGGTTTTACAGCTTTGAATAGTTTGATCACATCCTGCTGTGCAGGAACATGCATATGACTGTTCATGTACAATTTGGCATGCACCCAGTTGCTCATCTGAAGCAAGTTTAAGTACTTTTCTCCATTTGAGGCACTGTTTGGCAGCAAGCAGCAATTTATCRTTGCTGAAAACAAAGACAAGAAGCATTATGCTTGACTGCCCATCATTATTGGTTTCGACTAATGACTAATAACTGATAAATGTCAGCAGTCACAGCAAGCCAGCCTCTTGCTAACTTTCTTTTTAGCTGCTCAAGAATTTTCCCTCTGTGGACACCAAATAAGGTGAAGAGCCTTCTTGTAATTCCAGAACATTAAGGCCTTCTCCACGTGAGTGAACGGGCCTTACTAAAGTAATAAACCCAGAAGCTGTATAAACTGTAAAAATAAGGAAAATATGTATATATAAAAAAAGTTACTTWCAAATCTCAAATCAGTTCCAGGGGAATACTGCAGCAAAGGTTGCAAAGCTGCTTGACTGCTTTATCTTGCTTATCTTTATCAGCCCAAATCATGGTTTGGAATATTATTTTTCAATGATCACTTGAATTAGCCTGTCAGTTTTAAACTCTGTGCTTTTGATTCCCTTTGATACATCCTGGCTAATGAATGAGACTGAGTTCTTGTTTGGCAAGAACACGTTTGACACTGTCCAAGCTGCTCKGCTTGATGCCTTCCCTACAACCTTTTCCCTTGCCTCTAATGTTCAGGAAAGACTGGAGAAGAGGGGAGAGGTATATATGCCTTATAATGTCACRTTTTATTCTCTGAGTATGTATATAAAAGTAATCCTTGCAAAGTTTGACTCAATCCCTGTTTTAGGATGCCCATGTTACACTAAGGCAATTAAATCACAGAATCACAGAATATTCAAGGTTGGAAGGGACCTCTAGAGATCATCTAGTCCAACCTTCCTGCTCAAGCAGGCAAAATCCATGTTTACATTGCTGCTTCTTTGCATAGGTTAAATGATTCTTGTTCAGTACAGAATTTTCAGAAATGATGAGCAGAACCAGTGAGTTTGTGGCTGAAAGACTTGCATAAAACTTTCGGTATCAATATTGAGAGGATAGAAAAGATTTAGTATCTCACAAAAGGCAAGGCTCATTTGTACTAGCCACCACTATTCTTCCATAGATAAACTCCTACTTGAGTAGAAAAATGGTAGTAATTCTTACTTTGTAAAATATTTGATATGCCCTAACTCCTAACCGCCAGTATATATATTTTACCAAGAATA